TGTGATACATAGTATATGCAAGGAAGTGCATGTAGAATATATAATGTATGTAACAATGAAAATATATATAATATAAAGATAGTGTATAATAATAAGTGTATGACAGTGTATAATAATAAATTATACATATAGTATGTGTAAGAAAGTATATTAGGCATATGCACGTATGTAATATATAGTATGCTTGAAGAAGTATATACATACGTGATATACGTCTGACATATAGTATATACAGAAAAGTATGTATTTATTGTGTACGGTATATACAAAAATAAAAGTTACACACTCGTTAAATTTATCAATTGTCTTTGACGTATCCAAACATCCGATTGACGTATTTTAACCATTTAAAAGAAATTTTATGACTTCAATTATATACTTATACGTATCCCCGTGCTTTTTATGCTGTAGGAAGAATTATTTAAAAAATTCAAATTTTACTCGTGTAGCGTGTAATTGAGGTAGTAAAATGTTTAAATGGTCAGGATACGTCATTCTTCGTATCGCCGAATACGTCAGGAAAAATACGTAACTTTTATTAATGATATGCCCCTTTCGTTAATTTTTTTAATTACTGTAATTTGTAATTAACTAATAACTAAAATATATTTAATATTAATATATTATACCCCTAATTATTTATATTATAATTACAATTATAATATATTATTTTAATATCGTAATATATATTATCTAATATAACTGTTAATATGTTATATTAATATAATGTCTATTAACTAATATATATTAGTAATATATAATAACTTTCATTCGTTAAAAGTATATATATAATATAATATATACTCAAAATTGCTCTGCGAATAGACTGGTGGATGATTTTTCATTCACACATTGTATCATGCATGTGTATGTATTTCTCTATACAGAATGCAATAACCGATTATATTATCAGTCACAATAGCAACGGTAATTGCTGTTGTCATTGCTACAGACACTATTATTGAGCATAAAAATCAGTATCAACTAGATAATCTCGAATCGTAGAATATTCTTAAAATCTCAGTGTAATTATTTAAAGTAGGGCCCAGTAATAAATTAATATTATAGACACACAGTGACATATGACTCTAGTATAACAACTTCCACGATATTCGTGGAATATTATTTTAGTAAAAAAAATACAATATGAAATATAAAAGAGGTTTTCGAAATTTTCTTTCTGTAACGAAATTTAATTCACGTTGTAACTTTCAAACAAGTGTTATTTTGTCAATAATTGAGATATAGAACGAAACAATGGAATTCGAAATCGTAAGAGATGAAACATGAATATCAATGAGAACTAGATATCCCAGCCGGAATTTAAAACTTGTTACTCAGGGACAATCATAATTGTGGGTTAGTGTGTTTACGTTACAATTACTACGTGGAGACTGAACGTGGAGTTTTATCCATAGACTCCAAAACAAGTTTGACCGATTCGCGGGTAATCGTGGAAACTGCGATGCATTACGTGTGTCGACGTTCATTGAAAATATTTTGTTCATACAAAACAGTATTCAGAGTGACGTCAATCCGACGTTTTCTTTCACATTATCACCTAATAACGATATCCGCTGGGTTTCAATCGGACCTGCCACCGTTGCGGTTGTAATTAGTAGGTAGTAATGTGTAATACATACTAATATCAATTAGGCAAAATTGAAAAGGCATTAGGCTGATTGAATTTCCAAATATTTCTTTCTCGTTAGAAAGCTTCAACGTACATACCTTGAACTACGTATCATCTGTTTGAAAAGTTTTTTTAATTTTCATTAATTCCTATAATTTTAAAATACAAATGTTTTTAAAAAAATTTATAATTTTCTCTATTCGATATAGGCCGAAAATAAGTACGTTGCGTGTAAATATTTTTTAATTTCTCCTATTTTATATAGTTTTAAATAATAAACTTTTAATTTTCATTAGTTTATATAATTTTAAAATACGAACGTTTTTAAAAAGTTTTTAAATTTACTCTATTCGATATGGGTTTAAAATAAATATGATGCCCTTAAAAAATTATTTGATTTTGTTTATCCTATATAGTTTTGCAATATGATGTATATGAAGTCTTTAAGAAATTAAAAAATTTTTTTAAAATATACATGATCTAAAAAATTAAAAAATTACATATACGATGTTTGTACAAAATTAAGAAATTCTTTTATTGGATATAACTTTAAAAAAGGTATGCTCCAAAATTTTTGTTTATTCTTTTTATTCGATAAACCCTCAAAATACGTGTAACTATAAAAATTTTTTTAATTTTTTTTATTAGATATAACTAATTACTAAATGTACATATACATACATCAAAAACTACATACAACTAAGTTTGTATTAAATAATCCTCGATTTCAATTTTGTTTATTTTCTAAATTATATTTCAACTTATAAAATATACTCTATCGACTACAACGAGTATATTTGAAATCACATCCGTTAATTATACAAACATCAGAAGTATACAAACTGTAAGTTACAAAAGTAAACAAGCATAGAAATTAAATGATATACAATTTAACTATACGAAATATTGTTAAATTTTAAAAGATGCAATTTCCATTATCAATAATCTTTAACAAATTTATTCGTAATTTTTTGTTGTTAGCAATCGAGTATAATCGACTTCATGGTGATCGATGTAATAATTTAATAAAGACATAAACAATTAGTATACATGATATTCTCGATCAAGAATGTATTTTGAAGGTTATGTAACGAGTTGATGTTCATAACACAGGTTATACATCAATAATGATGTCGCTATTGAGGAGAATGATTCAATTTTTCAATTATGCTTATTCGATAACTATCCTCATCTACAGCGTGGAACTTTTATTAATTCTTTGTGATCTTATGTTCAGTGTAATTGAACAAAAGTTTTCTAACAAGTTTGTTTTTTACTTTTGTCAAAGATTAGAGAAGTAGACATTTTTATTTTCTTCCAATTTCTTTGATTTAAGTCCGAAGTATATAAGAAAAATAATTGCAAATCTACTAAAAAAAAATTTTTTAAATAATTCCTAAACTATCGAAAAAAAGTTTTTGAAAATAATTCTGAATCTACTGAAAAAATTGTTTAAAGATGATTAAGACCCTACGGAAACATTTAAAAAGAATAATGGACCTAGCAAAAAAGAAAATTTTGAAAATAATTACGGATTTACCGAAATAGAATTTTGAAGATAATATGGACTTACCGAAAAAAAAAAAAAATGTTAAAAATAATTAACGTAACGCAAACAATTGATACACAAATTATGATTCAAATAGACCGGAAAGGTATGCAATATAATTAACCTTAATGTACTGTTATTACAAATTAACACACATAATAAATCTTTTTACCCTGGACTTTATCTTATTTCCTTTCTTTCCCTCAAAAATAAATAAAATAAATAAAATAAAATAACGTACGCATCATAAATCACGTTGCATATTCATATCTTCCTACCAACAAATGTCAAAAATTGTATCTCAAAGAGGAGAAATAAGGAAAAAAAAAAAAATACACGTCATGAATCAAATTCAATATTCATATCTTCTTACCAATGAATGTCAGAAATTGTATCCCAAAAGAGAGAAAAAAAAGGAAAAGAAATACACGTCACGAATCAAATTCAATATTCATAATTGTAGCAACAAATGTTAGAAATTGAACTGTGTCCAGATTTTAAAGCCAGGCATCTAGAGCAAAGACTGAACACAGCGTGTAATTATAACGAATAATAAGAAATATCTTAATTCAGTCACGAGAAGAACAATCTCGAATAGTTCGGGAGCAATCATAATACATTCGTGAGCAGCGCACTGTGCATAAAAATGAACGAACGCATCATCAACTTTACGTCACGTAATCTCAGCGAACGATTGGCACTATCGGTATACACTCCTGGAATATCTCATGTTTTCGAGCGAACTTCAATTCTTTGGCTACCTGTGCTCCTCGACACGACGAAAAAAAAGAAGAGCGAAACTATTATCTGCAAACGTAATACGCTTATTTGCACTATTTACGTCCGAGATTAACAGACAAAGAGACAGCAAATATAAAATGCACGAAGTATGTCGGCACTTTAAGATCATTTTATCGCTTTCCGTAATAAATTTTTCAAGCGAGCATGCAGCTTCACTTGTCACGCGAAAAGAGAGGGCAAACATCGACGCAGAACCGTCGGTACTGTAGAAACGTAAGAATATTTCCTTATCTCGTTCTCACTATGACGGTATACGCTTCATTGAAACATCGAACGTCTTAAACTTACAATATAAATGAACCAGCAGCGTGAAATGCGTGAGCGAAAAAGAAAAAAGAAACGAACGTGCTTTCAGGTACATTCCCGCAGAAGACTGTCCCCGCCTGTTCTGGAACCTCGAATGACAACGATTTTCAATTGAATGATCGCTCTGATACTTTATTACACACGTAGTTGACTTTATCGCTCGATACAGATCCCCATGTTCAACCTATATTTCCACTGTTCGCGTGGCTGTTACTCGAAGTAATTATTTTTGACGATTACATTCGACTCGCGATGAAAGATCGAGAAAAATGAAATATAACAAAGCCGTTTGATCCGGCTGATTACGTATCGACGATGCGCGAAAAAAGGAAAGAATCGTTTTTACTGCTATACGCGGGTCAACGGTGGCGACGCGAACGTGAAAACCGTGTATTCGAACGGACGAAATTCGTTCGATTATCGTAACGTACGATGCTATCGAAGAAACCGTTCGGAAGGTTGGAAACGTTGAAAACGTTCGAGATGTCGAGATATTTTGTAACGTACGAAATCGGACAAAGGAAAAAAAACGTTGTAATTCGATAGGAAGGCAGAAACAGACGTCTGGTTCCACTACGAAGTGTGTTTGTGTCCCTCAAAGGTCAGCCACGAGTTACACAAAAGATGGGCAAACGAGAAAGCACTTTCTTTCCCACATGCGATTCACGTACACTGTGCAGCATGCTAGACATCAAATGTTCGTGTACGTACCGACTTCGGCATGTTGTACGGAGAATTCCAACATAGTAGGCTGAAATCAGCAGAATCGACCTGGCTATCGTTTGTCGGCGCAAGGGGAGGGTACGATCGCACGGCAAGGACACATAGATGCACCAAAACAACAACTATATACGCATGTATATGTATATATATGCATATATATCTGGTAGGAACAATGCAGTACTTTCAAATGCACTCAAGCTGTCAACTGTAGGAAGAAGATGGCGACGGCTAATCAAGCGTTAGATCCTGAAACATACTTAGTAGTCGACAAGTTTTCATCGATGCGACCAGCCCGCGATCTCTCGGTTAGCTTCGAATTTGATACAGCATCGACACCAATATCTCTCCTTAGTACGATAGAAAACTCACGGACACGCATTACACGCACACGCGCACTACTCGATTGCTGTGTGTAGTATCTGCACTAGCACGCGACCACGCGCGTATTTACGCGTTAAAAGTAACGGGCAAGGTGATCGTGGGGAGTCTCTCTCGTTCGCGACAGTTGCCGGAGGGAGCGAGATAGAGAGACTTTTCACCTTCGACGGACTTGGCTGGACTGACTGAACCAAGAACGCTCCCGTTCCCGTTCCCGTTCCCTCGCCTCTGATTTTCCCCTCTCCCTCTTCCGCGCTCCTTCTCCTTCGCCTCCTCCTTCTCCTTCTCCTTCCCTACTTTTCTCTTTTCTCATTTACACCGAGCGTGTTTTCCTTTCCCGAGGGAACTGATCAGCGATCAACGCACCTGTTGCTGCCGTTCGATCGAACCACGGCTGTCGAACCATGCTGAATGATACAGCTCCGAGAAGGTTGTACGCCAACCTCTCACTTAGCCTTATATAGAGTGTCTGTCACGCGTCAAGACGAGCACTGTTTTCGATTAGATTCTTATCGGACGAAATGCAGTAGCACAATGAGACGTCACCCGTTTATCGCTGCTACGAGGCAACTGGCAGCGCGTTAAATTCTCGTCTCGCGTTTCTTCCTTTCCTTTCCTTCTTTCCTTCCTTCCTTCCTTCTATCCTTCCTTCTTTCCTTCCTTCTTTCCTTCCTTCTTTCCTTCCTTCTTTCCTTCCTTCTTTTAAAAATTTAGAAAGCAGACCAACAAGCTCCTCTAGAAAGTACATACGCGTATATTCGCGCGTTCTCACCGACGGATATGCGTATACTTGTATATTTAAAACGTATTCATCCACGAACCTCGTTAAGTAGGATACGTTGTTTTACGTTTCAAATATTTTATTTAAGACGTAACGTTATTTTCATAGATAAATGTAATTTTTTCGAATGTTTTTTTCTTTTGTTTTTTATTTTATCCTAACATCGATGAAGAGTCGTCGGATAAGATAGTATACTACGTTTCGCAATGGAACGTTTAAATTGTCCGCCACAATCGAATTTCCACCGCGCATGCGCAGAAGCAGCTACGCGTTTTAATTTGCAATCACACCACGCGACATAGCTTGTCATTACGGGGAGGAGAAAACGGAAGAATGATATTTATCGATATCGATAAAAAGAACTAAAATGCTGTACAATTGAGAAGATTAATCGCATTTCACTCGTAAAGGAATTAAAGAGTAATATTTCACGTGTTTTGTTACAATCAATTTGGTGTTAGTTGTTGTAGTCATCCTAATGATTTATACGACTGTTGCAGCATTAAATTTATAACGAACTAAGATTCGGGATGATGGTATGCAAATGCTCTATTCGAACACTTGGAGAATTACAATTAAGCACGATACAGATTAAAGTGATTGCAAAACACGGAATGTCTGGTTGTTTGCGCTGGAAAGAAATTACCGATGACCGTTAACCTCGATGGTTTCCGGACTACTGACAACACTCGAACATCATGACCATGCGTTTAGCTACCAAAAGATAAGGACCCCGTTACGCTCCTATACAAATAGTGTTTGTTTATACTTAATTTCAGGATTTGGGGAATTTTTCACTCGAGAGTGACACGAATTCCGTTATCCCGAGAACAAAACGGGATTTACGTCGCTCTGCTATAATCGATCATTCTTTGACAACAAATCAAATGACTTAAGCTGCTTTAATCTCTTCCTTTACCTTCGATATGGGACTTTACTGGTTGCGAGTATTTCATCCGTTTTATGAAAGTTTATCATATCTTTTTCTTTTATTTTCTCTTTTCTTTGGCATTGCGAATTTTTAACGTATTTTTAGTTTCGTAAGAAAAACCTGCATTAATTGTACATAGTTTCGTAAAAATTGAGCTAATTTTTAGTTTCGTAGAATTAATGCAGGTTTCTTGTAAGATAGCTTTAGTAAGGTTTATGTACGTTAAATATCGCAATTTGTTTTAGATATGTAGAGTGAGGCAGGTTATTGTCTATGTACATATGAAGAAGTCTTTAAAAAAATATTTGTCATGATAAACATAATAAAGACGATAAGCAGCTTTGAGTTAACCGAATTTTTCGTAATCGTCTCACGTGCAAAAGAGAAAATACTATAACGACATACATCAACGAAATGTTTTAATTTTACTTACAATTGTAGCAAAAATGATTTGTGGAATGAAAAATAATTAATATGAAACACGGGAAAGCTAGCTGTAATATATTTCATTTCCATATTATTCGTGATATTTGTAAACAAAGAATTATCTTAACAGTACTTTAGCGTTAAATAAAAATAATTTTAACAATAATTCTATGGTCATAAAATATAAATTAACGAAAATTATTAAACGTACATACAAATTGTTAATGAAAATTAGTATACTTGAATATAAGATATAAAAAAAAATTATTAAACTCAAATAGGAATGCCAATGGAAATATAAATTAATAATAAAAATTACTACATACTAATATAAATTACTAACGTAAAGAAATATTGTATAATGAATTAAGAATATGTAATAAACTTTGAAAGAATATTTTCTTGGAACATTTTATTAATAAAACGTATAGTTTTCTGAAATTAAAGTAAACAAGTGCATATCAAAAAACTTGTGCAGTTTGCGCGTTCTTATAGGTAGGAAATGGACGACTTCACGTAGTCTTATAGACTCGATCATGAAGTTCTACTCATACGTAAAACGTCGAGTTCTCTTTATAAGGGTATTTAGAAGTGGAATTTGAAGATGTAATAACTCGTGCAACTTGTTTAGTGGCACGTAGTAGTTATAGTTGTCTATAGCTTGAATAGGTTTTCCAATTGCAGGAAGCTTGCAGATAATTCCTGGTTTAACACGTTTTATACTACCATGGATTACCGATATCCCACTATGGAAATAAAAGAAAAGATTTTTTTGAAATCAATACAGACGAGAGAAAACTAATGATTCAGATTTAACCGTTATTTTCTTTTACTACTTGATATTATATTATTTTTAATAAATTTCTGTAAAGTTGCTATTTAGTAAAAATTAAATAGTTCATTTTGATAAATTAGAGATATCGACAGAGCCATAAAAGAATCATTATTTACTAGAAATCTACCAAAAATAGTTAATTTTGGTAAATTTACTGTTTTTCGTTTTGCAGGGTGCTGACAAAATCCTAACCTAACCTATTATTTACCTGAAATTTATCTAATATAGCGAATTATTAAAATTTTACTAGTTTTATTGTAATTATAGAGGAATTATTATTCACCAGAAATTTACTAGATATAGCCAATTTTAGTAAATTTAATATTTCAGACAAATCTCTAGAGTAATAACAATTTTAAGTGTTATTACTTACCAAAACCTTACCAGAAATAATAAACTTACCAGGATCTACTATTTTTAAAAATAGTGAAATATCAAAAATACGAAGGTATAGAAAAATCGCGATAGATCTAACGAAACTAAGAAGATTGGTACCCTTTATTTTTTCATGACATAGTCCGTGTAGAGATATGAATAGCAATTAGAAGCAGTAGAATAGTAGTGCTTTTGTGACGCAATGGCGGATTTAGGAGACGAAATTTAGGAGACGAAGACTAGCAGTTTTTAGGGTTTATCCAATCTTCGATTATGATTCTAGACTATTCGACTGAATGAGTTGACCCTCGGCCCGTGCTATGGTCTACGTTTTAACGAACTTTAATGAAGAAGTAAGAATTTCTATGAGGTTTGCATAGAGTCAAGAAGTGAATCACAGATTATACACGAAGTGTCAAGATATGCGTACAAAAGTCGCTCAATTCGACAGATTATTTCGTTCTTAAACCCACATTATCGAGATGTGTCATGATGAGAACGAATATTGCTGATGTCAGCCAATTTTAATTGAAAGCTACTTCTTCCTGGAATATTTCAAATGTACCTCAGCACATTTCGTTCCTTTATCTTCGAATCTAATTTATCCTTCCGTCTTCAACTGGTGCTTGATTTTTACTGACAATCTCCTCTTTAGATAACAACTCTAATAATTTCATTAAATAACACGATGTTATTAAATGACATTGTTCGATTAACTATTATCTATTTTCTCAGAGTTGTCACAGTATTGTCACGCAATTTGTAAGAATTACCTCACTATCATATCTCATACGTCCTCGTGTACAGGTTGGAAGATAGAAGAATACTCGTGCCATATTAATTCAATTAGTTCAACATTTTCAGACCGCCGAGTTCGGAGCGAGGTGTAAAATTGTTAAATCGGATTCTAGGAAACAAATTCAGCGATAACAGAATTACTTGACAGCTTTTATTACTCGCTAAATTTGCTTAACTTAATCTACTAGAACAAATTAGCGTTAACTGCCAACACGTCCAAGGTCAGTATGGTCAATCAATCCTCTTTTTCCCCTCTAAAGCTTTAAATCAACGTAGGCGAGTTACATACCAAGAGCAATTCAAGCCAGTATGCATGAATCGTATCATGTCGTGTTTTTCGCTTCCATCTTTATTCATTTTCATATGGAAGATTAGAAGCAACGAAATCGTTATTCATTAATCTTATAACGTGGTTGTCACGTCATTGAACCGAATTCGTGGAACGTGACAGAGGTTTCTGACCAAGATCAATTTTAATTAACAAAGCAAAGATTATCCATTTTGAGAATTTTCGATAAATTCGATCATTCAGGAATTAAAATACTTCTTTATGCCGAGAAGCTTTTTGAAGGAAAATGTTTCGTTTCGAAAATAAGAAAAATTAAGAATACACGTAAATTTGTTTGCACGGTAGCCTTAGTCAGCTTTTCACCTTGAAAATAATTTTTCATCGACGAGAACAAAATCCAATAACAAATTGCAGATTACTAATGTCTCCACAGTGGCTCCATAAGAGATTAAGTAAACGTTGATGATCGATCAAAGACTTTTTTGAAAATATTTTACGTATGTGAAGCAATTATTTGGTGGAAATCTCAAGAATAATTCAAATTTTCAATTGTGTCAGTGATTATGAACATTTCTAAAGTCGTATAAGTTATAAAAAAATCGAAAGCTTTGTATTTGGATAAATAAAAATAATTGATTATGACAAAGCTATAAACTCGACCTGAATCTTCAATTTTCTGCTGCTTTGCAAAAATGGTTTTACATTATCGTAATGTAAATAAATGCAACAATTATAAAATCCGCACATGTAATAAT